TCTAAAACTCTTGGCTTGGCAAAATAGCTGTGTTTAAATTTTCAGTTTATTTGCATATGCAAATTATCGAGCATGCTAAAGGATTGTCCAACATTGATATTTTCAAAGGTGAAAACGGAGTACTTTTTCCTCCACCTTCCCACCCAAGAGAGAACTCAGATCTGAATTTACAGAGAAAATATTTATCGACATGTTAATGGTTTTAAAAAGTGGACAGGCATAATGACCCCACAGTATCACGTTTGTTAGTAAGCTGCTCTGAATTGTTTCTCCGCAGGCATACACTAACTTTGGGAACCGCGTGGTTCACCTGAAGAGGCAGCTCGAGGAACTCGTAGCAAAACTGCCAGGCCTGTCGCCCATGATGTCCCCTCCAGCGGGCATTCACTCACCGGCAGGGTCCGATTCACCAATGGCTGGTCCCGAGGGGTCTCCATTCAGCCCACCCCTGGAAGATATTGATCTGCCAGATGATGACGCGGACGATACCGTGACATCGGCAGGTAGGTCAGGCGATATAGCAAGAATAATGAACCAGTTGATCATAAACAGGACTCTGCGGGGTGGGCTGGTAGGAACGAATAACCAAAGAATATAAACATAATGTATTATTACACTTGTTTAGCCAGGAAAGCCCCACTGAGTCTAAAGGTTTTTGTAGGGTCCTGCCAAGTGTTTGCAGTAGGGGGCGATGTTGCTACACCTAATTGGACGATACGAAGGGAGAGTTTGAGGCCTAGTTCTAGGCTTTGAGGCCTAGCTGTAGGCTTTAGGCCGCTGTGAGTTAATTTTTAATTTAAATGTTTTAATTATTTACTGTAAAAGATTTAAATGTAAATGTTTCTATTTAAAAACACCAGGGAATGTAACATTGTTAAACATTAACTCCATTTCACACACGCGGGGGTACGATACGAAGGGAGAGTTTGAGGTCTAGTTCTAGGCTTTAGGCCTAGCTGTAGGCTTTAGGCCGCTATGAGTTAATTTTTAATTTAAATGTTTTAATTATTAATGTAAAAGCTTTAAATGTAAATGTTTCTATTTAAAAACATCAGGGAATGTAACATTGTTAAACATTAACTCCCTTTCACACACGCGGGGGTACGATACGAAGGGAGAGTTTGAGGCCTAGTTCTAGGCTTTAGGCCTAGCTGTAGGCTTCAGGCTGCTGTGAGTTAATTTTTTATTTAAATTTTTTAATTATAAAAGCTATCTCAGGGAATTATAAGGGAATGTTACACTTGTTTAGCCACGAAGGCCGCTGTGAGTTAATTTTTAATTTAAATGTTTTAATTATAAAAGCTATCAGGGAATTATAAGGGAATGTTACACTTATTTAGCCAGGAAAGCGTCACTGAGTCTAAAGGTTTTTGTAGGGTCCTGCCAAGTGTTTGCAGTACGGGGCGATGTTGCTACACTGGACGGACAGACGGACGATATAATCTATTGTAGGCTGGTTCACTTCGTTCCTACCAGTATGATTGTAATATTGATTGGGGGTATGGTGGTTAGCACGCTTCGTGATGAATCTGCTTACCTGAGTTTGGTTCCTGGCCACGGCTATCATCAGTGAAATGTAATATCAGAAGCGGTTATATCCCTCCCTGCACTGACCACCTGGTGGAGTACTACAGTTTATCTGCCTGTGACTGAATCAGCAAAGGGCTGCAATAATATATTGTTTTTCTAAAGAGCCTCACCAAGTGTCAAGTCTTTCAGTAACATCCTTTATTTGGACATTAATCCAATTAAATTTTTCTGCGCATTTTGTATCTCTGAGGGAAGGACATGAACTCCAGTGCCTGCACAGATTGGCTCACAAACTGACTTTCTCTACTACTATCTGTCCACATACTGCTCTTTGGCGTTAAAAATGTTATAACTAAATGATCCACCAACCGTTGCCTCCACCATGCCCAGTACGAGATGCTATTTGGGATGCTTTTTGGTCTGGGGAATATACTCTTATTTTTTTATCATTTAGGTTTGGGTAATTTTTCCAATGTTGGAATATTTTCGACAGCACCGATACTTGGCCTCCTGTGAATCACTTGGTATCATTTTTTTCAGAAAGATACTTTTTATATTAATATAAACACCGTATTCTCAGCTCTGCAAATGTAATTTTTAGGGATTAACATGTGTCTACAATGTTGCTGTCAAATCTGTTGCAGCGACTGATACTTCCTCAAAGAAATCACTTTTGGCCACAGTTACAGTACAGTCAACCAGCTCTGCCCGTGCCATGAAACTGGGAAACAGACAACTGCATGCCAACAAGACCTCCACCATACCCAGCCTGCCCGATTTGGACCTCCGTAAACTCAGTGGCGTTATAGGATCTTTCACTGGTAATCCAGTTTAGTATATACTATATACATCGTACAAAATTAAGTTTTGTTCATTGTTCTGTACAACGAGTTACTGTATATCTAACACACACAAACGTGCTTACAATTGCTTCATTTAACCTTCCTTTAGTAAAATGTATAGTTTGTCCTCGGAATAACGTGGCTGGATATACCGTGTCCCACGTGTTATTTTGGTATTTTGAGCCTACGTGTTAAACTTTTGAGAGGACCTCTAAAAATTTGAAAAAAATATATATTCGTTATGAAGCTCAGAAATGTAACAGCGTTGCAAACCCATTGGGCTGTTGTCCGTTCTATCTCCATGCTGCGAAGAAACGTCACATGCTAGGCAGTCGTAGTTTAGTCTAGATATGCTGCAAAGCCCCAGTTTTTCTTGAAGCGCCAACCCCCACCCATAGCCACAGCGATGGTAGTGTTCCATTTGCCTTACAGTTCAGCACTGCACTGTAAGTTAGCTACTGTAGCCTTGGATTTAGAATTGGCTTGTGATGTTTTTCGTGGTCCTTTTGACCATTATGTATATATATGTAATCTATTCTATATTTTATCAAATGAAAAGCAATATGTATGTATAACGTTAAAAGCGGGTTAATGGTCCAAGTTTGGTCTTCACGTTAATAATGGCGTTTTAACATATGGATGGATATACTCGGTCACCACCATCATACCTGAATTATCCCGTTATTTTGAGGACACACTATGAATGTAAAAATAATTAAATGCCATTATTGGTAACTTTGAATATGCATGATTATTAGTTGCATAATATTACAAAACGATGCTATGCTAAATGATTGCTGTGCTTTGTCAGGCTTTTCCAGCTTGCTCCAGGAAGAAGAAGCCAACGCAGATGTTCAAGACTCTGCATCTGCTTCACCACCTGCAGATAGTTTTGAAGGGTCGGACTCTGAGACACTCTCCCCAAGCATGTCAGCTGCTGGTGGAGTTAGTTCCAGCCACTCTGTTAAATCGCAAAAAATAAAATCTCCGTCCAGCAAGAGCGTTCGCTCTTCTACAGATAGTTGCGGCGATGAGTTCACACGACATCAATGCTTCAGTCCCATGGCTGAGAAGCAGTCAACTGATACTTTGGAGACAAACACTGTGCCTGAGTCGTCGTCCTCAAGCAGCCTGGAGAGTCGGATCCATAGTATGTTGAAGGACAACCCGACTTTTTTGCCTTTTAGTTTGGGCAGTCCTGTAAGAGCGGCAGATGAAAATCCATACAACGCGGACGAGTCTGCTCCATCATCGAGGACGGCCTTCGAAGGCTCCTCCCCCCCGGTCTCCACGCCGACTTTTGAGAAGCCGCGTGTCAGACGTGCGAGCATGGCTTCTAACAAGTCGACTTCCTCTATTCCGTCACTTACCGCTATAAAAGAAACTCCCATTCCCTCCATTGCATCGGATAGACCTTCTCCTATTCCTTCCCTTGCCCAAAACCGAACGATACCCAAATATTCAGGAACTCTGGAAATACCAGCGCACATCCCTACACTGATGGGGATTGGTAGAACAGAGAAACAAGATGAAGATAACTTGTTTGCGAATGAAAGGGGCAGTGGAACGCCCACTCAAGATGAACCCTCGGACCACACAGCCTTCAGTCAAACTGGGGATGCTTCCTACAGTACTTTCCCTCAGTACGCGATGACTGGCTATCCTTTATCAAATCACACAGCGTTTCAGTCCAGTCAAGAATCGCTACAAAGCTTTTATAGTGCCGAGGAAGAGCGACAACCTGCCACGAGAACAGCTGCAAGAAAAATGTCCTCAAATCTTCTAGTTTTGAGTAACTCCTGTAGCAATGAAGATGACAATGAAAATGCAAATGACACTGGGTACTCCAGGAGATTGGGGGCACCTGTGGGCAACACTGACGACTTTCAGTTTCACACTGTAGCAGGAGCTAAAGCTGCAAGCAATGTTGGGACGTCTTCTGATGTGCACAACAGTTGGGGATATGAAGCTTCTGCCAGCACGAATCAAAACCAGTCACAAATGGCAATGAATGACGTAGTAACTACATCTCCATATAGCCATTTTGGTTATACGAATAGGCCGCCAGTTCAGTCGCCAACATCTCAGCTTCCATTTCATTCAAATTTGGCATCGGAGATTCACCACTATATGGTGTCTCATTTAAGCCACACTAACCCTCTCCTTCCTCCTAACCCAGCTGCATTTGAACTCGGACCATTTTCCCTTGCTAAACCTGTATCCCATCCAATGGCAGTTTCTCCACATCAGATTTTGTCAACGCATCCCACATTAATGCCACACCTACCCCATCTGCGTCCATTGTTGGTGCCTCCAGCCCATCAAGTCCCACTCTCTCCCACCCAACCGATTCTAGCATCTCACCCCCATCTCATCTTACAACAGCCAATGCCCGTACACACGCCTACATCGCGTTCGGTTCAAACGCCTCCATTCCGTACAGTTTCATCACAGTCTCCTGTCCAACATCCTTCGCTTCCTCCAGGGTACGTCGTTGCACCCCACCTGTTGCCTACACCTAGCCCTAAACGGCCACATTTTACACCTCACTTGCCCACATCAGTCTCAGCGCAAGCACAATCCTTGAAAGCAGCCAGTATTAAGCAACGAGCACACAGCCACCCTACTCCACAATTGCCGTCCCACTCTGTGCCGCACTCGAAGTTACATTTTTCCCACACACAAAAGCTGTCCTCACACCACAGTAGGTCAAAGTATTCTTTCGTTCGAGAAAAAGTGCACACCACTGTAAAGAAGGCACAGAAAGAGGAGCCCCCCAAGGATGGACTGGAAAAGAATGAAGGTAAAGTTAAAACTCCGAGCTCCAGTAGCAATAGCGACCAGAACGTTCAGAGTAACAAACACAAAACTCCAACGCAGGAAATTGGTGCCAACCAGTCGCAGGCAGAGATTGACTCGGGCATTAGTAAAGAAGAGAAAAGAGAGCAACCTCAGAACCAGCCTGACCCAGGCAAGAAGTGCGGTGACGCTTTGGGGAATAATGCTTCTAGCAGTGGTGCAGACAAGCCACAAGTAGCCACGCCACAGGAAGATCAGAGTAAGCCGTACCCCAAAGACGGCTTTCAAAACAAATTATTGGCCAATCACGTTTCGCCATCATCCGTGGATTTTCCTCCACAACCAAGGCCATTAGTTGGACAACAGTTCCAAGGCAGCAGGGATTTTAGGCCTAGGGCACTACTTGCTAATCCTAGAATTCCCTTTGATGGTGGCATAAAAAGACCAGGTCCCCCTTTCGGTGCAAGTCCATCATTACCAAAAAGGCCGTTCATGCCTCCTCCCAGGTATTGAAATGCAAATTCTACAGCATTGTATATTTGGATGTGCCCCTGCTGTTGTAATGATTAGCATGAAAGAAATGCTTATCCATTTGACATAAGCTTGGTTGCTGTGTACTATTATAACAGTTTGATTCTGTTACAGAATTCAACTAGCTTGTTAATATTCTTTTTTAAATGTTACGATATTACTGCGCGCGTCACAAGCGAAATGGTCAACTGACATGAGTTCGAGAACATTTGTTCATTTTTCCTTTAAACATTTACATTGATAGACTTGTAGGGAAAACGCAAGTGAAAAGAATAGTTTAACACGTAGGCTTTCGCGACCAATATCCATAATAGAGGTTTTTGGGTTGGATCGCGTAAATATATAAATGTGTCGTTAAAACCCGCCACTGCCCGACACGGCATGTTTTGTTTACGTGACAACCCTTACTAGTTGGCTGTGTCGGGTGGTGGCGGGTTTTAACGACACATTTACGCGATATAACCCAAACACCTATTATGGAAAAAAATAGTGTTTTTGAATTTGTCGAGACAGCGTCTGTTTTCGAGACTCTCAATGCTTGTTTTTGTGCAGAAACTAGAACTTCTGTGGCATAATTATTTCAATTCGTTACTGTTTTTGTAAGTATAAAAAAAATATCACAAGTAGTATGTGATAGATTCTGTGTTCATAATGGTGTAAATACAGTTAACCACCAATCCCAATTAAAATACGGTAAGTTTATTGTGTAGGTGTGCTGCTGTTGTATACTGGAAGAGATTGTAAAGTTTAAAAATGCTGACCCTTTCTGATTTGTACATAAGGCAAGTATGGTTAGCGCAACAAAAAAATTGCGTTGATGTAACGTTCAGTGAGTTTTGTTTTGACACAGTTACCACAAGGCAACAGGTTAAACGTGCTGGGCCAGGAGGATGCCGAAGATCTGCTTTGTCACTCGTGTTTCTGTAAAAAAAATGCTTGGAAAAGAAATTGAACTGTGACTTGATGAACACAATGCATTTATTTTACCATGTGATTGATGGCCGCATCAGTTTATTTCGCCCAGCAGATTTGACACAAATGAAGATATTGGGTCTCTTGCATTTAGTCGTTCATCTTAAAGTGTTTGCAGAACTCGTTCTTGTTTTGCTGCACATGCTTTAATTTGTACTCTTTTTTTTTACCAATTTTGTAAAGCAAACTTCGTGAATAGCTTGAGTGGAGAGGTCGACACGGATTTGACAGTACACCCACACTGCTTGAGTTATGACACTATGCTGTCGGCAACATTGAAGACAATCCACCTTAATTCTTGTGATGTACAGTGGCATGCATAACATCAGATGGCGAGACGGCTAGAAGACAATGTACACATTTTTAATATGGGGGGAAACGTCAACTGGCAGTTGCGAATTGAGCTTTGCAAGATTCGTTTTCCCCCTAATGGTTAAGTGGATTAAAGATTGACTTTTTTTCATTAGTCAGCATTAAATGTTCAGTAATGTTGAACCTGTTATAGAGCATAGCATGTGAGATTACTGACAACACAACCAATAAAGTCGGTAGCTAACTACCCATAGTGCTGGTTAGAATACCGTCAAAACTCAATTGATGCGACGTGGGGGGGGGGGGGTTAATTTTATTCCCTGCGTTTGGCTTGTCCAAATGCTTTATTGCTTTGAAAGTGTGCATTGTTTTTAATTCAGATAACCCAAAAACAATCCCGGTTATGTTTGGCTCAGCTGGGCAATGATACATTTGTCCATGTGAAAGGGTTGCACGGTTTTCCGTTGTGTTTTTGGGTTATACCGCATGTTCGGGATGAAGAAGCTCCCTTGCACGTGGGAGCAAAGCATCGGGGATGGTGCGGAAACAACGCGCTACAAACTGAAAATACATCGGAGAGCTGCTCATTCTCAAACTGCAGTAGTAAAAAATGTTATTTTGGGAATATGGTGTACACAAGTAACTCAATGGATTTTTTTTATTTTAAGCACGTATTTAAAAAGGGATTGTATTAATCGGCAGCTATGTGTAAATTCCACTATTTACTGTAGCACACTATAAAGCAACTATTGGCTGTGCAGCTCGGTGGAGTGCAACGGTGAACGCATTCAAACACTTTATATCAAGAGGCGTCCATGCGTTTATTTGGACCTCTGCATTTTGACGCTGTGAAGGAAAGTACTTTCCGTGTTTCACAATTTCTTTCCTGGAGTGAAAGTGGTGGTGCTGCTGAAGCTGAGTTCCCTGTTTGAAGATTTCGGTTGGAGACGAAGAAGTTTAGTTCAGTGGTCATCCCACAGCAACGGAGTATTAATTATATGCATCGACGCAATAATGACGACTACATGGATAACAAGAGCATAACTGGATTTGGGCGAAGGAAGGTTTCGATACACAATAATTATCGTCGACATGTTTGGCCAGGGCAGGTAATTGACAACTTCGACCCGTTCTAACCCAACCGACCTGGTGAAGTTAACTTTGGAGCACAGGTCAGGTGACTTCATCGCTGCCCCCCCCCTCTCCACCCACCTTTGTTTAAAAGCAATTTCTTCGTGCTAGCAAAACAAATCCCACAATGCACGTGTGTGTGAAAGAGACTGTAAATAGCACTATCGCCAAATGTATTTTGCCACTGTTGAATACTGTATCTTTATTACCCGTACCCCGTGATTAAATTGCTCTGCTGATCGGAAGTGGTACTGCACCCGTTAGCCAAAAAACCCGGATCATCCCGTATTGATGTTGAGATTAATTGGCGTTCAAAATCATTTTTGGGGTCTGAGAAGCCGCGGCTGTTTCACCGGCCTATTGTGGGCTGCGTAAGTGTTAGCAATGTAGACTACATACATTTAATGGAACTACTTTACTCGTTATAACGCCTATTTTAAAAATCAGCGTTTAACGCTATTTGTATACCAAATGTTTTTTTTTAATCTTAATTGTAACCGTTATTCAAATAGCTCTATTGCTGAATTGCAATCGCGGTTAACGTTTATGGTCTCGGCGGTCTCCAGTAGGAGCTTCAGTGCCTGGAAACTCGGTTCGTGAAGTAGCTGCAACCACATGTAACGAAAAGTCGGGCATAATTCCAAGCGACGCGATATAACTCGAAAACGCATCGGGAGGACTAAACGGCACAACCGCGAAAACTTACGGGGCAACCTTTTTAAGGGGTTTTCCTCTGAAGATTTGAAAGTAGACTTCGTCAGAGAATACGGTCAGCTGTTGTGTAAAACAATGCAAAGGAGCCATCGCGTAGTGACATTTTAAACTGAAAATATTCAACACGTGCAATAGATGTGAGTGGCTGGGAATTTAACGAGCGACCTTTTCGCCATTATATAAGTTCACATCTTGAGACGAGACTTGTTTAATAATTATCTAAATCTGATAGAGTAACAAAACTTGTAACCGTTGTCGGGGATTAATTCACCCTGGACGGAGCTCCGGAAAATGCCCCCACACTGGCGGGGGGGGGGGAGGTGATCCGTGGAGTTTTGCGTTTGGCGTCCGCAGAAAATATTCTATGAGAAATAGATTCCAGCCTGCCTGGCTGTGGTAATGTGTGTGTGTGTAGCGAGGTGGGAGCCAGTTCTGGCTCAATCCGACTGGAGGCAATTGTCGCGGCTGAGTGCCGGTCTGATATTCCACCGCTACGCATCAATTGGCGCTGTGATTTAAACATGTGCGCATCAAACACGTTACGCAAAAAAATATAAATAATGGTAAGTGTAAATCATTCAGAGGAGAGCTACTGTCTCGTAGACTGGCCAACAATTATAGAATACATGCCCACTGTTGGAGAATTACGTATACAATGGGTCTTCAATCGGTACCCATGTGTTAATGGCCTATTGTATTTTGAGGCATGCTTGCTTGAAGATGGGTAATGCAGCGCATCCATTGAACGAAAAGCATGAGCTCCGCGTTTGTAAGGATGCTTTGCTATTCCTGCTATACCACAGCGGCTGTTTCGTGGCCAAATAGGCTGAAGATGTGAAGGAATGCATTGTTTCAGAGGAAATTATTCAAGTTGTGATCAATACCCTATACACTACTTATTAAAACATGGGGTTGTAGGACTAATACACGGACATCTTAGCAAATAATTATATCCTAACACCTGAATTATTTCTTTGAGAGTAATGTACGACATTTCAGCCGCATCTCTAATTAAAATACTATTTGTAATACCTAAGATAGGCTCGTTGGCCGAAACGTTAAAAGTTTACTCAATCGAGAAGACGTTGGTATTTTTAATCCTCTACTGGGCATTCAAAGAATATTTTACATTTAGGGATTTTTATTTGTTTTGTTTTATGGCATGTAAAATATCAGAAACCAGGGTAGTTTTTCGTACTGTCTTTTGGGAATACGTAACGTCTAAGGTGGGCCGTGATCCAAAACCATAAATATACTGTTATAGGGAGGGGGGGCAAATTTTACCGATGACACTGCCTTGCAACAGTCGCCGTACTTATTTGAGTCGAGGGTTGAAGGGTTATATTCCTGCTGCAAGACCGTGGGGTTTGGGGGGGGGTGTTTTGTACTTGGGACACCTGGAAAACGCAATGCGTGCATAGTTTGGGTTTTTTTTTCTGTTGAATGTGACATTTGTTTTTTTGTTTCTGTTTATTGGGATCGAATCGATGGGACGGATATTAAACGTACATATCCTGTTAACAAAAAAAACTACATTATGAGCAGGGTAGAAAAAAAAACCCTCCATGTTTTTATATTTTGTTTGAATACAAGGTAACGCCTATTCTATCCATTCATCAGGCAATTAGAATCATTCACCACTGTAATCCGCATGCTTACCGAATTGTAAAGCAACGTGTTAGTCACATGACTGCAGTGGTGCCTAGTCGGGCCACGATTCCGTATTGGAAAATGGGAAATCTCTCTACTTGTACGGATAAAAACACCCAATAGGGCCATTTTTATTCGAATAAGTTGAGTTAATTCCTCCGCCCGCCGAGCTGACCACGTGCTCCGTTGCCCTGTACTTGGTGCCACGGTGGCGAGATGTTAACTACCTCGCCCGACATGCAGGAGGTTCGTGAGTTCGACCCTGACGCCTGTTGTGTATTTGGAGCTTGCGGTCTCTATCCGTGGTCGCGTCGATGTTTTTCCGGGTCATCCGGGTTTTTCCCTCGACGTTTAGAATCAACGTGGGTTTAGAGAGTATTTGTCTGCTATACCTTTGCACATGATAAGCCACTTCGTCGGGCTATTTGTGGCCAGGTCGCTTCTGAAAAAAAATAGCTACAGAGCTCGGTGGGCTTTACTTGGTAAAAGAAAAATATTTTATTTTATACCTACGTGACTTTACCGAAAGAACCAAAGAGTATAAAAATATTTAGTTTAATCAGTTTTTTTTTACTTCAGTGCCGCAAACATGCGCCACATTTGGAGGGGGGCACATTACAGTATTATCACTGTAAAGCAGTCACCTGTTTGGGAAAACAAAACTGATTGAACACAAATTCATTAGTTTTTTTACATACTGGTAAACGTATATAAAGTGAAGCGTACGATACATCCATAATTACGAATTAATTCTGTACAACGTCACATGAGCAATCGCGGTCACAACGATGGCTGTGAAAAAAAATTCGGGCATGCAACTGCCCATTTAGCGCCTCCGATGTAGCTGCAATGCAGCTTGTATGCGTCGCGCGTGTACACGTGTGTGTGTACACGTGTGTGTGTGTGTTCACGTGTTTAAAAAATGCATTCTGAAACGCTGAACAAAACGAATGTTGCTTGGCCTGCTTTGTGATATTAACAATGACGTGCAATGCCCCCTTGTGTTTCCATGTGGGGTCGTCCTCCCCACACCCCCCTCGCTCCTCCACCCGCAACAAAAAGATGGCTGCAGCGAGAGGAATTGGCGCACGGATCGAGAGCCAGGACTCCGAGATTCGAATGCTTATCGCCGCCGTCCGTCAGCTGAGGCTCGCGGAGGGCAGCGCGCCGGACACGCCGTCCCTCGTGGCCCTGAGGGCCGCGAACGAGAAGCTGAAATACCAACTGGGCCATCTGAAGAGGAGCCTCCGAGCGGAGGAGAGCACGGAGCGTTGTGGTCGCGGGCGGGCAGCGCCGCAGCCCGTCGTGTCCAGCGGCACGGCGGGTAGCCCGCAGGTCAGCTGCTGATGCGCGACGCCGTGCCTGGTGTGCATGCGTCCGGCCACTTGATTTTGCTGGTTAATATTAACACAAGAAACACGTGTGTGTGTGTGTGTCTTTCGGTTGCGTGTTGACAGCCGCTTGTTTTCTTCTTGCATCAAGTGTGGTTGGTTGGCATGTTTTCGCGGAGTGGCACAGCTGTTTTGGGGTTTTTTTTATCCGCGTTTTGGCTGAAGTTATTGGTTAATGTTTAACTTTCGAGTGTTGTTTTGAAGTTGCGTCGTTCAACTTTTGTTGTGCTGCGAGGTCGCGATGAAACACGTTTAAAACGACGTGGCCTAGATCAGAAGAATTAAAACGTACGGGTGGAATCCGATGAGCTATAAAGCTTTTTTTCACGGATGTCCAGTTAGGGGCGGGTAAGATCCAAGGGTTTTGGTGACATCCAATTCATGGCATCTGTTACAACAAACAAGACATTGCTTTCGTGGATGTACACGTAGCTGCTGGCGTGGGTCGCTGCTGCACAACGTGTGGCTGGTGCACATTCACATTGAATTTAAGCAATCACCTCCATTTGAAGAAGGTCCTTTGCACGAAACGTTTATTTACAAATCGTTATATATTTGAAGGTTGTTTCTGAGGACGGGTCATTAGCCTACTGTACAGTATATATTGTTAATCATGAATGGTGAGTGCTTTTTAAATTGTGTGCTACTCATCAATGCTGATGCTGTGCTTGTCAAGTTAACCTTTAACCGGGACAGACTTACACGTGAACGGTGTGTTTTTTATGGCTCACCCCGTGGGGTAGATTTAGCGTGTAAACATTTCAACTAAAATTAATATGAGCGTAAGCAATGTACAGTGCTCGCATTGGAATGTATTTGTCGTTTAAGTTGTAAAAACCGCACTTTTTATATTGTATTTTACCCTCTAGAACCTCGGTACTGTTTTTAAAAAAAACATGAACGCATGTCACAGGAATGTTTTAATTGAAAAGCAGTGAACGCGTTGCAGCCACTGCTATTAGAAACCAGTCGGTTTTGGTACGGAAATACAATGGGGCGTCAAATATCTTGGCCGTGCCCTTTGCATGTGAACATGCATGATGATGTATTAATCACAGTCTCTGGGGAAAGAATAGCGTTTGATGGTTGTGATGTATCTGAGGCGCTTCGTGGCGACATAAGACAAGATAGAATGTTTCAATTAGCGTCTAAAAGATGTTCTATTGGCTTCATATTTATAGGAAAGTGAAAGTAAACATGTAGAGAGAGCCCTTTTTCCAGCCACTGCTGGATTTATGAAGTCCGTGTTAGTTATTGGGTTGTTTTTACCATACCTCGCCACCAGCTATCACACGCCACTGATGCCAATTGTGGCTGGGGATTAAACCCATGAGGCAATTGTTTAACGCTGTTGCTAATTACGTGTACAGTATATATATTCCGGATAATGTATGTATTGTATACAGTATTGTGTACAAATGATGGCTCCTATCCTGCTGGTGAAAAGTTTTGCCGACAGTTTTTAATATTTCACGCACCATCCAGCATTATTAGATTGCATTGTTCATGGAAACAGACAGACGCCGCAGTACATAGGGCGCAATGTACGTGGATCACCGAACAGCGCAGGCACTGCTTCACTGCCACGTAAACTCAACATCCGTGTTTATACAGCTGACCGTGCAGTAGGGCGGTATAGGAGATCCCCTCCCCACGTAGATTCGATTAAAAAATCGATGGTTTTGTGGCGAGTGTGGCGACCTGCAAGTTGCTGACCAGTTTTTAAAACGTGTAATGTGATGGAATGTTGTGCCTCGCGAGATTAAGAATGTATGAGTCGCTATATACAGGGTGTTTCAAAGATATGGACTCAATTTCAAAGCAGTATATTTCACGATGGCAACATGTTACAATTGAAAAAAAAGTTACAAACGGTTTAATGAGTTATAAAGTTTTACTAACCATTTTATAAATGCTATATGTGCCCTCCACCTGCTGTACGGACAACATCGAGACGATAGTTGAATTCGTCCCAAATGCTTCTCAAAGTGGCTTCTTCCACTGAAGTCACCGCTGCCGTGATTCTGTTTTTGAGGTCATCCAAATTAGTCGCTAATGGTGGCACAAAAACACCGGTCTTTGACGTGTATCCCCACGAGAAAAAGTCGCAGGGTGTGATGTCTGGGGATCTTGGGGGCCAAGAGTGTAGCGCCAAGTCTTGGGGTCCCGTGTGACCTATCCAACGTTGAGGCAGTGTTGTCTTGCGAATGACTGATGCTAGGGGCTGTTTGTGCACTGGGAGAGGCAACTATCTGTAATCATTTGAAACTCTATGCCCCGCCCTTTCAAGTGGTAAGAGTTTCATTCATGGGCGGTTCGTGGTTGCAGAGATATAGCGATTTCAAATCGGGTACATATTTTTTGAAACACCCTGTTTATGGATTAAGGCAGTCGAAACGTTTACAGAGTATGCGATAGACAGTATGCTACAACTTGTACAGTATTTATTTTTAATGAACCCCCGACATTAGCAATGCACTTGTTCAGTTGTACGGTTTGTGCATAAAGACTGGACTTTTAAAAAATAGCACGGTATTGACATGGTTCAGCCTCGTGTGTGTGTGTGTGTGTACAATGTAAGTGTGTAGAGACGGATTGGAAACCAACTCGTGACATCATTGTTATTATGGAGATGGTTTTATTTTGGAACGTGGAATGTGCCGTGTTTGAATGATCTCGTCTCGGTTCTTACGAAACGGTACCACTTCACGCATTCACCACCAACCATCACACTTCCATAGATTCGATTATCACGATTTCGGGAGGCTATTAATATCAGACAATTATAAATTTAGCTAATTTTTGGATTGTCTCGAAGCTGGTGGATTTATTTTACTCACGTGTACGGTACATTTTATTCTCACTCAACCGGATATGTTAATATTTTTAATAAGGCGTTAAGAATTCATTCTCTCACACACAACGCCTTCGAATCGTGTATCGCCAGCACAAGAATATGATGTAATCTAATAATGGTTACTTGCCTACATGCCATTCTCACTCATGCCTGGATTACTGCTATACAGCAAATGTCGTCTTATGGTTATCCTCTCAAACGTAGTTGCCCTCCGAAAATCATCAATGTCAGAAGATCCCCACGACCCACCCAGGGCTCGCCATCGCTTCCTTATTTCTCTCTTTAGCTACTAACCACAGTACAATACAAGTGATAGTCTTACACAGCTCCTTGGTCAGTCCACGACTGGATGAAAGCCTGCCCATGCCGTGTCTGTCAGTCATTGGGGTTGCTATTTGCCACGTAAAGGGAGGCAAAGGGGGCTCTGTTCAATTATAATTCGCCGGAATCGAACTCAGGTTTGCGAAGACTGCTGTAAAGTGACAGTCGTCATCCTCAGTTTAACATCCGCAGTTAATGATGGCAGCAAGAGGTTATCCTTTTCGCTGGTCATGGTTCGACTGCCCAAGTTGAGTCTCGTCTGCATTTTGTTGTTAATCTTCCAACAAGTATATGTCACAGACAAGACATTAGACACACTGTCGCTTTAAATGACGTACTTCTCAGCCACGTAAGTTTACCACAATTTCGTATTTGCACAGACATTTTGTCAATCCACTGCTGGATGAGAGCCTCCCCACGCATTCGCGGGACGTGATTATTCGACCATACTTCACCACGCTGGTCAATGCGGGCTGATGAAGGCGGTGAGCATACACGTAGGCAGTACAGTGGTAAACAAAACGACTCACCCCAAGGATGAATACATCATTCAAGAATTTTGAAATGTCAGAGCCAAGTGCTTGGGGGGATATATAATACGTGGAACGCTTGCGCTGGTCGGATTTTTTTATTTAAAGCTCGTTTCTCGGGGCGTGTAGGCAGGCCTGGTGTTTGATGGGTGTTCGATGAGTCGTGGTTAGTAGTTCAGTGGTGGGTGTTGCGTGGCAGGAAGTGTTTTGTCGGCAAACAGTTGATAAATCCGTGAGATTTTTCCTCGCCTATTGACCCCCCCCCCATCCCCTCCTTCGGCGAATTCTATTCGCTCTTTACGTCTCCACCCACCAACCCACACACCCCCTAGTGTTACGTTTTCGTTTCGTAACACGTCAAGCGGCCACCATAGATAGACACCACGCAGCCGGTGGGGTCCTCCGCTTAGTTCGATTCCAGCAAAGCACGTGGGGGGGCGCTGGTTCGTTCGCTCGTTCGGTCGTTCGTCTCCGCGTCTCTACCCAACGCCGCTCGGGGGACCTCTTCCTCCTTCACTGCCTGCCCGAGTCACGAATCGCGAGCGATGGCGAACGCCGTGACAGCCAGCGTCCAGGATCTGCAGTTAAATAACGGAAAGGCAGGCGGCTTTTAATTCTCACATTCTTCACGTTCGTTACACGTACAGCCGTCGTCGTGGTTATTTATTATTAATATTATTCATCTTGTACAGTTCGCCACGGCCGTCACTGCCCCCTTGGTGTTAGCGTAGAAGTCGCGGGGGAGGTTTGCATGTGGCCGCCTATGGCGTGTCGCGTGTTGTTCGCGATGATGGTGGGAAGGAGGCTTCACGCAGGGACTTGCGCCGTCGTCGTCACCTCGTCCACCACATCATCATCATCATCTTCCTCCTCGGCTGTTGTCGCTAGGGCACCGTGCCGTGCAGCGAGCCTGGTCAGCACGCCTTCGTATCCCCTCTCCAAGTGTCGTGGCCACGTGTGTACAGTGTCCTGTAGGAGCTGAACCCGGGTCCCTAGGGCGTGTGCGGTGCTGTAGAGAGAGGGAGGAAGCCCCCACGGGGTTTTGTTGGTTGACCTCTTTGTGTCTCCCTCTAAGCTTCTTCTCGTGAGCGTGTGGACGTCTCGGTGTCGGCTTGCATTGTTCGAGCTTGATTGCGTGTGTCTGTGATTGTAGAATTGTCGTACATGGGGCTCTGTCTGGGGTTCATGGTTTGCGTGAACTCGCATTTCGCGTCTCGTCGGGGTCGATCATCATTGATTTTTTTTCTTTATATTAAGTTTGCGTGCTTGCTTGCTTGCTTACGACCGTGCAAATCTTTCGGTCGTTTTTTAACCCACTTCCCGTGATCCAATCGAGCTGACATTTTGCACACAGACTCGTTGTGCGAGACAATTAATGTTCGTGAAAATGTTTTTTCCAAAATTTTACACTGTTTAGGGAAAACAAATTAAATATTTAATTACCAATTGTTTAATACTGGCAGACAATCATCTGACCCATAGGTGGCAGCCATCTCAAGCCAGAGGACGAGAGGACTCTAGCCGCCACGCATATAAAGGATTTATAGTGAAAAACTTTGTTTTTACGGGTTTACTTGTTGTGGTTCGTGAAGTCCGCTGGTCATTGTGTTTCTGCCGCGATTATCCTGCCGTCAGCTCGTCTGTGTCTCGGGTATTTGATGATGTGTGTATGTAGGGATCCTGCATCTTTGTGTGTCAGGGATGATTGTTCCACATCATCAATTGGGTTCTCAGCTCGTGGGTGCTTCGATGCCTGGGATGCTTATTCTGTCTTGGGCCGAGTAGCCCCACAAATATCTCTGGGTCCGTTGAGATAATTAATTAGTATCTTCCCATCTTTGAAAGAGAAACTAATTTGTAGGTCTCTCTGTCTTGTGGTCTGCTTGGCTGTGTCGTGTCTGCTCGCTTTCTGCGTGTTCGAGGTCACATTTTGGGTGACCGATTGTGAGTGTAGAATTATACAATTATCTTCCTACAATCTCGGTATGTAAAGGCTTGGTTTACTCCAATTTTGTGTCCTTTGGTAATCTAATTTATCTGTCTACCTGATGTATTCCTGTCCGAAGCTGCGCGTTAGGTTGTCCACAGTCGCTTGTGTGTGTCTCGGTTGTGTGCTTGATGTCTGAATATATTATTGGGGGTGGGTTGGGTGACCTGTTGTGTCTGTAAGACCACCTCGTATGATTTATCTCCACAGACCGCTCGAAGCTGTGCAATCGTTACCCAATGCATATGCGTGTAGGGGGTCATGTCATTATTATCTGACAGGTCACTTTGCACCTATGGGGGGGGTCTCCTTGTATGTGCCCTGTCATGTCTATCCGCTCTCCCGGCCTGTCAGATATTCCCACATCAGTCAGATAATTCCCACTTGTGCCTGTTTCCCATGTGTCCTCTCTTCCCTATGTGAGTTGTCCTAACACCGGTGTGTAAGTTGCGCTGTGTGTGTTGTTTTATTTCACCCGTATATCGGGTCTCTTAGCACGCATCCGTTTTACAGATAGGAACAACAGGTTACACACTGCTCCACCACCCACTACCAGGGATTATTTGTCTGTCTGTCGTGCATATTTGTCTGTCGTGCACGCATGCGCTGTCCAACCACTCCGAAGGAACGTGTTTCACTTCCCCCTGACATTTCTTTCACACCCGCATCACGCTGTGTGCACTTGCTGGTGGTGTAACTACCTATCTCGTGTTTTCTCGCGCCTGTGATTTCTACCGAACTCATACACGTGTGTGTACACTGTGTCTTGCTTCCCTCCTGCATTCTGGATATATTTGGCGTATTTAACTCCCTTGTTTTCCAGTATGCCAAGCATCGTTTTGCCCGTGTCGAGATTCTGTGATGCCGATATTTTTTTGTAATTTAGCATATCGAATTCTTCCTTTGAGCGTACTATCGATTGAAGACTTGTAACCGAGAATTAGCTGATCGTGAGCCATTTGCCTAGTACAGTACTGTTTGTTGATTCAAATGACGTAATGAGGATTAACTTCATTATACATTGGTCATTTTGGTCATTTGTTCCGCAGGTGTGAGCAATATTTGTACTGTCGAAAACATTTGTCACGAGTGAGTTGATAATTAAGTGAGGTTCGTTGGGGGGGTGGAAGTCAATTTATTGAGTTTTACAACAGGCCCGTTTGTATGCGAGAATGATGCAACGTTGCCTCATCTGCGCGTCTTCTTTGACTCAGCTCAACGTAGAATTTTTTTGCTGTGGTTTTCACACCTGATGGATGATGATTGCTTGTGTTGCAATCGAAACGTCGTGAGAATTGTATTGTTTGATTTGTATTGTTTCCCTTCTACGTGACTTTACCGAAAGAACCAAGAATACAAGTTTTAATTTATGTTGGCTTGTTGTGTGCACGTGTTTACTGTGAACCCCTCTGTTTTGTACACCATCGTGAGAATCAGTGCGCCCTCAATTAGGTGAAATTACCGTAACAATCGCTCTTAAACTAACGCTTGACCTCGGCTATAGCCACGTTTGCTACCGACTTCTAATTCTTAGTTTAACAACTGCATTTGAAAGTGTAATCGTGTAATGTTTAACGACTATTTCTTAGGTTGCGTTTATGTGCGATGGCCCAAATTATTACCTACTTAACTTCCTCTGACATTCTTCATCATTGCCGGAGCAGCTTTTGCTGAACACCTGTGAAAAATACACGCAGCTGATCGGGGTCATTCCAGCCTAAATCAAATGTCTGTGTCTACATTGAATTGTAATGAAATATATCTTTAACAATTTTTCGTCGCGCTACTATAAGCTATTTTTGATGGTCATGTAACGAGTAATTTGTAGTGCGAATAAGATGTCGTGATGCCGGAAGTATCACATCTGCTTTTTTTTTCGTCACGTTTCCAGTGTGCTGGCAAGAATCCGACATGCGACAAGCATCACAAGAAGGAAGGCGGAAAAGACAAGAAGAAAGATAAAGGGTCGAACGACCTCAAAGTGTCGGAGGTACAAAAAAATATTACCAACCATGGCATGTACACGGGGGGACCCAAATCAGGAAGCGCGTGTTCGCTCGAGACCTGAGCTCTTTCCAACACCTGAAGATGCTGGGTGGTAATCTCCAGCGAAGTGTCAATGTCAAAATTGTCAAATGTTGCTCGCTCTTCAGCATGCACCCCACCCACGTGCAAAGCGTTTTGTGCGTGCATAAATAAAACGGACAATAGTTTGTGTCGGCACTAGTTTTAGTCCATTTTACACATTCCAGACGGTAATATTTCATCACGCCACTTGTTTAAGTTCAAAGGGCTCGCATAATGCACATGCATAATATACGTTGCCGCAGTATTCCCCCCCCCCACATTGTGCAAAAGCGCAGAAGCGTGGTCAACACATCTATATAAGGAACGAAACAGCAAGACCTCCAAAAATCTGGCTGTGGCCTGATGAAGCTAGTTGTAATAACTGGCAAAACGTCGTACTCCGATTGTAAATGTTGTGGCTTGGCTCTCCAAAACACCGGTGTGCTGTCCTAGTGACGAATTGGCCACGTTCTGTTTACGTGACAACCCATACTAGTTGGCTGTGTCTGGTGGTGGTGGGTTTTAACGGCACATTTATATATTTACGCGATCTAACCCAAAAACCTCTTATGGATGGAAGCGTTAGCTAAAATACCTTCTAGATGGGCTGTCGAGAGCTGTATATGATGGAGGCTCTTTCAGCAGTGGCATAAGCATGTAGTTTCACCTCTGCCATTTCGGCTTCACCATGTTTTCGCGGTGCTGTACGTTGCGTTGCTCACCTGCCCTGCGATTGTGTGCAGCTGAATCCGTGGCCAGTGTACATCCAGGAGCGCATCGGGCTCTACGATAAGCTCAAGGCAGCCCACGATGCCCTGCTGCTAGAGCGCGCCACCAATCAGAGCAAGCCCATCACCGTGACTCTACCTGATGGCAAGACCGTGGAGGCCGAGTCCTGGAAGACCACCCCCTACGAGTTGGCGGCCGGTATTAGGTGAGGTTCGCTGAACCTGGGGAACACTCGTGCTCCGGCCTCTATAACATGGTGCCAGCGTTTAACATTGCGCTTTTGAGGTGGTGGTTGGTGGAGTACACAGAGCCCATCAATGTGTGTGACATTCCCTGCTGTAAATGTGTTTGCTTAGTCCCGGTTGAGCAGCCTAGAAGTTGTGTAGCTTTAGGCTCAAATCTCTTGTTGGCGGTCCACGTGACGGTAATTTTGTTACGGCGCTGGCCACTGTGCGCCCATTTTCCCCAGATCTCCACACCCTTTACACGTAGCAACCGTGTGTGTGCATGTCGTGTAGCAAGGGCCTGGCTGACAACGTGGTGATTGCGCGCGTGAATGGAGGCCTCTGGGACCTGGACCGCCCCCTGGAGAGCGACACCACCCTGCAGCTTCTCAAGTTCGATGACGAGGAGGCGCAGGCCGTACGCATATGGAACACAAATATACCCACTTACATTCACAGTTTAAAAAAAAAGCATCCTAACCATGCAAGGATTCAACCCCCGCTGCTACTGTCACGATATGCGTGTCACATTTCTAAGTCTCGACTTGATTAGTTAATCTATTAATAATTTTTGTTAACATTGTGGTGCTTTGAAAACGCCTCTTGTGGTTGCACGGGCGATATTAACAGGTTACTTACAACAGCTGTGATTCGAAAATCATTCTCGTACAATCCAATGCATGTTTCATGAGCATAGGAATCGCATTTTAATTGGTGGATCGGTGCATTGTTACTTGCCTCGTATGTGCACATTGTTCAGCGTTAAGTGAAATTCTGTTTTGTGGAGGTTGAATTTTGCCACCTAAACAAGACCGAAGCTTGTGTTGCCTCCGAAACGTCGTGATTTTTATTTTATTTTTATTTTACTTTTAGAAAAAAAAAATTTACCTACGTGACTTTACCGAAAAAACCTAAGAATATGACATATACGTTCTCCTCTTCCACTTTCCTCACCCAGGTGTATTGGCACTCAAGTGCCCACATCTTGGGGGAGGCCATGGAGAGAGTTTATGGAGGCTGCCTTTGTTATGGGCCACCCATTGAAAATGGATTTTACTACGACATGTTCTTGGATGATGGGTGAGAATAGTAGTTTTTTTCTTTGTGGAAATAATTATCAATTGCTTTACATTACGTTGTTGCACTAAGTCCTGTATGTGCCCGTTTGACAGGAGTTAGAAGTTTTAGCAATATGCAGAAATGTGTTAAAAACACACTGTCCCTGTGCATTATCCAAAAAAAACACCAGTAATTCCTAAAACAAAAATAAGTTTCGGTTTACGGTCAAGTTTCGGTCAAGTGTGTCGCGATGGTCGTGCTCACTCCTAGCGACATCTTTGCATCAACATTAAAATGTGTACAGATGATAATGAAAGTTTAATAATGACATAAGTGTAATTTAAAAGTCTATTCTCTAATTAAAACTTGAGTCAAGCAGTCCAGGACACACACCCTGCTACGCATACATCTAGAAGATGACAGTTGTTTGGTTTTGGTTAGCGTTTTCCTTTTCTGTTGATTTTCATTACTAATTCGGTGAATTACATTTGCGTTGTGTTTTTGAGTAGCGGTGTCTCTAGCAATGACTTCCCGAGTCTGGAGGGCCTCTGCAAGAATATCATGAAGGAGAAGCAGCCTTTTGAAAGACTGGAAATCCAAAAGGATGTGCTTCTGGAAATGTTCAAGGTAATGTTTGGCTTTCATTTAATGAGCAACGATTTAACTGTGGTGGATCTCAGTGCTGATGTGTTACACTGGGCAAATGCTTGTCTTTTGCAGTACAACAAGTTTAAAGTGCGGATTCTTAACGAGAAAGTTAATACTCCAACAACGACAGTGTACAGGTGAGAGGTGAAATAAATGTAAAATGGGATCTCTTGTCCATCTAGATCAAAGTGTTTTACCTACTTAAGTTTGGAGTGATCTCAATCTCTGTTGGTGATCCTCAGTGCGGAATTCACATTTCTGTGGTGGACTTGAGTCCACGTATATCAACTTATGCAGATTTTTTACAACACGTTTCTAATTTTATAGATCCCAGAAGTACGTTGGCTGTGGTTGTAGTGATGTAAATTGCTCGTATCATTCAGGTGCGGGCCTCTGATTGACCTCTGCCAAGGTCCTCATGTGCGTCACACAGGGAAAATCAAGGCTTTAAAAATCCACAAAGTAAGTTGATTTATCAATATAAAGGAAACAACATTGTTGGTGACACTTACATGGCCGTATCCTGCTTTGACATTGTGAGCTTTTGCCGCTGCTAATGAGCTTTTTATGTGAACAGAACTCTTCCACATACTGGGAGGGCAAGGCAGACATGGAGTCTCTCCAGCGAGTTTACGGAATCTCATTCCCTGACACGAAGATGCTCAAGGAGTGGGAGCACATGCAGGAGGAGGCCAAGAACCGTGACCACCGCAAAATTGGCAAGGTGCGTGTTACCGCCAGTCGATCTCGGATTTTACCAGTCAAGCAGTCCTGGTCAGCAACTGGGTGGCATATCTATTGAGTGTGCAGGCGATGTAACTACACTGTAGCTGATGGTCCCCAGTGGTCTAAATGGTGGGCTCTGAAGAGGGCAGTTTGTGTGCACCACAGCTCATGCCACCCATGCTAAACCACTGGTAGAACACTGGTTATACTGGTAGGAACCTCCCGGTTACACCAGCCCACGGGATTTTAGTGTCCGTCCGTTGTGCATCCAAAAATGGGAGGGGTGGGGCTGGGTGGAGAGGGGAGGGTGGGAGGGGTGGGGCTGGGTGGGGAGGGGCTGGGTGGGGAGGGGCTGGTCACCCCGTGGTGCCCTTATAAAACTAACGTTTAACCTACTCACACCGGCTTGTGCCCGCCCTCACAGTCGGGAATATTTGCAGAATACACCACGCCGCCGTTGACCCTGGCCATTGACCGAGCAACCCAACGTTCCTATCAGCTCCCTCCGCAGGAATGTGTTGCGTGCGTGTCCATATAGCGGAGCCCTGTTGTCAGGCCACTGCTGGATGAGGGCCTTCACATCCCATGCGCCACTGGTATGGTAATGTGCTGAGAGTTAATTCGTCTTTTCAATTTTCTAGGATCAAGAACTTTTCTTCTTCCATGATTTAAGCCCTGGGAGCTGCTTCTTTCTCCCAAAAGGAGCATTCATCTACAATACCCTCGTCGATTTCATCAAGGTGACAAACAGCGACATTATAATCCGAGTAATTTTGGAGCAATAGCTTTATTGTGTGTGTATATACACACACGTTAGTCCACCTCCATTTATGTTGTGAATTTTGTACTCTGCAGAGCGAGTACCAGAAGCGTGGCTTCACTGAGGTGGTCTCGCCGAACATCTACAACAGCAAGCTGTGGAAGACGTCGGGTCACTGGGATAACTACAGCGAGAACATGTTCGCCTTCGAGGTGGAAAAGGAGATGTTTGCCCTCAAGCCCATGAACTGCCCTGGCCACTGGTGAGAAGGTTTTTTGTGGAGCATAATCCCAATGCAGCCGCATTGACTTTTGTTTGATGGCCCTTTGTCAATCCGCTGCTAGGTGAAGGCCTCCCCATGCTGTGTCAGTCATGCGAGTTGTTTGACCGCACTTCACCATGCTGATACGTTACAGGGTTGGTGGTCAGGGTTGATGGGCCAGGGCCAGATTCAGCCGTGTCTGGGAATCGAACTCATGTTGACAGTTTCACAGATTTTTCAGTGCGAGTGCAGATATCGCTTTCCAGAGTGTGTTGAGATGGTGCCACTGCTCCATATTCAGAACCGTTCAGAAGACGTTGAACAGGACCTAAAATGATTCCATTGCATTTTCCGCAGCCTGATGTTCGACCACCGGCCGCGGTCGTGGCGAGAGCTGCCAATCCGCTTTGCCGACTTCGGGGTGCTCCACCGGAACGAGCTCTCGGGAGCGCTCACGGGCCTGACGCGCGTACGCAGGTTCCAGCAAGATGACGCCCACATCTTCTGCACCATGGAGCAGGTGCGTGCATTTCTCCCACTCGTGTAGGGTATGCCTTCCTGTCCTCTTTTTACCAATGTCATGTCCTGCGCTACCTCCACATCAATGCTGCAGTCATTCGTACCTTGCCTGGATCACCACTTCGAACCACTGCTTTCGAGGCCTGTCTCGTCAGTCTCCACATTTTTTATTTAAAAATAGTGGAATCTGTATTCCAATGTCCCAGTGGGGGGAGAGTATGATGCGGTGTGTATTTATCGATGTGACTATTCTATTGTTTTGTGCATTGTCAATTCAGATTGAGAGTGAGATTGCAGGGTGCCTGGACTTTCTGCGCTGTGTGTACGAGGTGTTTGGCTTCAACTTCAAGCTCTTCCTGTCCACCCGCCCTAAAAATTACATGGGCGATATCGCGGAGTGGAATCAAGCGGAGAAGGTGAGGGGGGGAAATATGATGGTGGTTTAAGGGTGCCATACACACTGCCGAACTGTTGTTGAAATGCTATCGTCCCCCCTACCCCCTATGCCTGTCGTGTAATTTTGAATCGAATGATGGTAACTTTTCTTCCAGCAACTGGAAAACAGTCTGATCAAGTTTGGAGAACCGTGGAAGCTGAATCCAGGCGATGGGGCATTCTATGGACCAAAGGTAAATATATGGGACTGCGTTTCGTGCTTGCATTGGCTTTCCTAAAATATATACATATGTAATTGCCTTCTATGTGATTATTTCCTCAGTAATAATCCTATAACATTGATGGCCTTCCCATCTGACAGATTGACATTCAGATCAAGGATGGCATTGGCCGCTACCATCAGTGTGCCACAATCCAGCTCGACTTCCAGCTTCCCATCCGCTTCGACCTGAATTTCGTGACGTACGTGTTGTGTTCACCCCTTGGCTCTCGCCTCCCTTAGCATTTCACCATATCCACTTACCCCCCACCCCGTAAGGGTTTTAACTGTAATAGCGCGTCACGTCTCTCGCCATTCCCACCCTCAGCGGGGAAGGAGACGAGAGGAAGCGACCCGTGATCATCCACAGGGCCATCCTCGGCTCGGTGGAGCGCATGATTGCCATCCTGACGGAGAACTACGGAGGCAAATGGTGAGTCCGCCGTGCAGGGTGCCACTCCTCCTTCCATTTACTGATGGGGCCCCCCCTGAGCTATTCGTTTGTGCTGTGTGTCCGATTAAACGCCGTGTTTTCTTTGCTCCCCGCCAGGCCATTGTGGCTGTCTCCTCAGCAGGTGATGGTGGTGCCCGTGGGACCAACTTGCAATGACTTTGCTCAGAAGGTATGACACCACTTCGCGTGAACATGTGTGCATGCTATTTAACGTTCGTTTTGGCAGCACGTGAATCGCAGCGCCGAATCGCGTCAAAGGGAGAGGGGGGGGGCATTGTGGTAGGTGGGTATTTAGCACCGTCTGTTATTGAGTTGTTTTGGTCAAAAGTTGCAGGAGTGTTCGCTTGAACATTGCCTTGCTCCTCTGCCTTGTAGGTTGGGCAGCGATTCCACGACATGGGTTTCATGGTAGCCACGGAGTTGGACCCAGGCCTGACCCTCAACAAAAAGATCCGCAACGCTCAGCTGGCTCAATACAACTTCATCCTTGGTGAGTCGCAAATGTTTGCACGTCCGCAATGTTTACATTTTTGCACCGTAGAGTTGAATACGTGAATCCTTTGCCACCCTTGTTTCAATCCACTGCTGGCTTGAAGGCCTCCCTTTTCATTTGTGTCGGTTGTTAACTGTACTTCGCCATGCTGGTCAGTGCGGGTTAGTGAAGGGTGGGACAGAATCGGTTGTAAAATATCAGTCGTGTTAGCCGTGCCTGGCAGTTGAATTCATGTCGCCGGGGTAAACTGCAGTGTGTTGACCACTGCGCCATTACTGATTTTTAATCATCCAGAATAATGCACATATAAAGTATATTAGAGTTTTATTCCTGATATTTTCTCCACTTCACTTTGGGATATGGTGGTTTGGTCCTGTTTCTCCGTGCATGTCCTCTCCCATAGTCCTTCACATCCTGGCTCGCCACTTGGAAAACCACCTCTTTCGAGGGCTTGCCTGCCTGTATCTCAGTCACAAAATCACATTATTGTTGGTTTTTTTTTGCTTCGACACGAAAATACATGATACGTGCCCGATACAGAGAACGCTGATGGTCCGGTGGTTTCTTTTCCTCCCTTACTAGTCGTCGGCGAGAAGGAGAAGCTGAGCGACACTGTGAACGTGCGCACGCGCGACAACAAGGTGCACGGGGAGCGCAGCGTGGAAGACACCATCGCCCGGCTCGCCACGCTCAGGGACATGCGCTGCAAGACCGCCGAGGAGGATTTCTAGAGTTTGCGCGCGTGCCACCCAACCCGCCAACGTAGCAAGAGGGCAAACAACAGTTGCTGCCTGCCTCAATTGCACGATCCTCAGCAAAAAAAATGCAAGAGAATTAAAGTTATCGCAAAAGGGATATTCACTTTTTTTGTTCATATATTTCCAGTTTTGAATGTCTCGTTGCAGAATTGTGTGTAGTTTTCTCGAGTACGTTTGCTGAATAATACATGGTTTTACTTTATTCTATCTTCTAATGGGGCACATTACATTAACCATTACACCATGGTCTTGCTTAAATGGTCACATTACTCTGTTAAACTGTCATTGGGGCTTTCTTTCACATAGGAATTTAAATTGACCGGGTTATGTCCATATGTACTATCTGATTTGGACAATGTTTTTAAAATCATTAAGTTTCTAGGTAGTATACGTTCTAATCTAAAGTAAATATGAAGCGTGGCAAGCATTGATCCCAGAGTGTTATAACTGAATAAAAGAGTTCGAACCAGATTGTTCAGTGTTATGTAAATTACCATAATTTTTTTCAACAGGGTCGTCAAGTTATTTATCAAGTTCATATGCTTTCCATGTCCTCTTGCATGATGTGGCCAGGTGATAATAAAACACTTGATGGATTTCCAATGGTAAATAGGTAACCTTCCGAACCCACTTTTTAAACCGTTCAAGTTGCCTCGGTCTAAAATGAAAGTCGTTTTTGTTTTCATAAAAAAAAACAAGTTGGTAAATCATAACATTGCAGACGTGTGGCAAACACATTCAAGGAAATTGGAATTCAAGTCGTACACCAAGTTAATGCACATCAACACCGAAGCACCAAGTCCATTCACCTCTTGTGCAGGGATGTAATGCATAGAAATATAACTCCATCTCGTGCGAGGTTCGCTAACCATATGTGCGATAGAATACTTTTCTTACAATCACGTATTATACAGAGACTCTACTTACGAACGAGTTCGGGTCCAGAGGTCTGTTCGCAAGTAGATTTTTTCGTAAGTCCAACTTCTGTCGATTACAAACAATGTACGGCATGGACACTAAACACGTATAAGATGTAGATGCCACTGGTTCTTCATGTTCTGCAGATGTAGATGCCACCACTGCCATCTATTTCGCAGCGGGTAAACTTACGACTCGGTTTGAACCGGCAACTGGACATATGTACAGATTTGCTTGTATCTCCGAAAGTTTGTAAGTCGAATGGTCTTACGTCGCGGAGTCCCCAGTATCTACAACGAAGGTTGTTTATTGTCAAATGTGGAACATGCCCAGCTTAGCCACTAGAGGGCAGACTAGTGTAAGGAAGTCAGCTCCCATTAATATCCTGTATTTGAAAACACGTTAATCTACACCTTCAAAGTAATAGGTGGTAAAGACTAACCACGGAGTGACAGCTAAAGGAAAGAACAGCACCCACCCAGAGCGCGTCCATCGTGCGGAGATGGAGCGATGGAATCGGCGCAGGAGTTACGTGGGTGGATTCCTGCTCGACAGGAACTTTTTGAGATGGCGAAAACTTTGGGGAGGTCTGACATCGAGCAGTGGATCGATCATGGTTGAAGATGTATGGAACGTGCGAGGGGGGGAGGGTAATCCTCGAGTAAATCTTGACTGAGCAAGTGACGCCTTCGCTCTGCTGGCGATCCATGAATTCACAGCGATGAATTGAATTTATTTTGACTTTACACCACGAACATTCAATGAAGCTCGTACACTCCAGGCGAGGAGCGGTGGCGCAGTGGTTAGCGCGCTGCCTGAATGCAATGCGACAACCACAGGCTGAGTTTGATTCCCGGCCACGGCTGTATCAAACGGCTTGAGTGGATTTCCGATCCGTTGAGCCGCGTGGGTCAAAGAAGAACAACAAAACACGTGTGAACAACACGGCGTTGGGATGACTTCGTCCAGCAGTGGATCGCTCGAGTGCTGTTAACAACAATACATTGTTGACTCAAAGCTTTTGTGGCTGCAGGAATTCATATTCTTTGGATCTTTCGGTAAAGTCACGTAGATAGGTTCAAAGAAAATGTAAAACTACGACGTTTAGATCGCAACACAAGCGGTCGTCATCAGGAAAATGTGTGTGGGGGGGGGGGGTTAGCCTCTAAAGGCAAACTTAATAAAGACACCATTGGGAACCTCCTTTGCCAGTAGCAAAATATGATAATTGGTTTTTTACCCTTTTATCTGGCAACAAAACTGACACCTTTTTTACAAGGAGTCATGTTTGCATTGACCACAATACCTGCAGTCATAATGCTAACAAAAAACACAACTCTGATCATGTTTTCACTGTCCTTGAAATGGATTGGTCCACACCCGAGACAGCTTTCCTTAGAGCCTCGTCTCACATGGTGTTGGACCAGATGACGCCAAAAGGCGCACTTTTGGCGTCATCTCTGTCCTAATGTCCAGTTGTGTTGGACCAGATGCCGCCTTTTGGCGTCATCTGGTCCAACACCATGTGAGACTAGGCTCTAAGGAAAGCTGTCTCGGGTGTGGACCAATCAACTTCAAGTACAGTGAATATCATTATCAGAGTTGTGTTTTTTGTTTGCATTCCGACTGCAGGTATTGTGGTCAATGCAATCATGACTCCTTGTAAAAAAATGTGTCAGTTTTGTTGTTAGATATAAGGGTAAAAAAAACAATTATCATATGTTAATAAAGGTTTGAAATGGGTGTAGCCCAAGTGTCATCAGCTGGGTGGGCAATCGTCAAGAAGCAGCCCGTAAAGAGCCGCATGCGGCTCCGGAGCCGTAGGTTGCCGACCCCTGGTCTACACCAATCAAAGGGCCGCCAAGCAATCATTGCACCGCGCTCCACACACCTACCCTGCTGACGGTGGAGGTTGACAAGAAAACACAAATCAAGTCATGACCCAAAGTGGTTGATGACATCTTTCCAATGATTGCTGAGTTTATAACCATCCTCTCGGTTGAAATTGTGCCTGTGTCTATATATGGATGGCTTCATGAACGAATCTTTGTTGATAGCCAGTAGGCTTACAAAGTACGATCGTCTTAGAGAAATCTATTTTTTGTGAGCCAGCCACATTAAAATAATGATCAGCCACGGTAGAAGTATTGGTCCCACCGTGTTTCAAATCTGCCTTATGTTCACGGACATGGTCAGAGACATGTCTCTTAGTTTCCCAAATGTAACTGCTGCCACAGATACAACTTGGTTTGTAGACGCCGGGATATTGCATGTCAGGAATCTTGTCCTTCGTAGATGGGATCAGATCACGAATTGTATGTGCTGTGTTAAATCGGACCTGGATCTTGTGTTTGTTCATGATTTTGTAAATATTTTTGGTTACCCCTGCTGTGTATGGCAGGGTGATGGTTTTGATTGGATCCTCAGATGGCTCCTTCCTCACGGTTGGGGTGATGGCTTTGCGGATTGTGTAGTCAGAATATCCATTCGTCTTGAGAGCTTGGTGTACGTGTTTGAGTTCACTGGTTAGGTGTTCATGGTCGAAGATACATTGAGCTCTGTGGTGTAGCGTTTTGATGAGGGAATTCTTCTGGGATGGATGGTTGTGGGAATCAGGTTTTAGGTAGGCGTCAGTATGGGTTACTTTCCTGTAGACAGAATGGCTCATTGATCCCATCTGGTCTCTTTTTTTGCACTTTTTTATTGTTATTTTTCTATATCAGTGACTTTACCGAAAGACCCAAAACAAGACGGTAAACATTATCTTCCATGCACACGGAATCGATCCGCGCGTGTATCGCGATTCACCTAAATCGCTCCACGCGCGTATCGCATCTCACAGGAGGAATCGATCCGCGAATGAATCGCGGTTCACGTGAATCGCTCCACGCGCGTATCGCATCTCACAGGAGGAATCGATCCGCGAACGAATCGCGGCTCACGTTAATCGCTGCACGCGCGTATCGCAGCTCACAGGAATCGATCCTCGCGTGCACCGTCAACCACAGGAATCGATCCGCGCGTGTATCGCCAATCAACAAATCGGCTGCAGCGAGCTTGAGGCGTCAATTCACGAGTTCGGCGAAAGGTTTTTGAGGGTCTGAGTCGACCAATTTCGTCCCCGAAAAAAATCGATCTGCGGAGCCAATGCCGTTGGTGGTGGTGTGCGGCCTCCCGTGCAGCGGGAAGACGCGCAGAGCCCTGCAGCTCGAGGCGGCGCTGCTGCAGCTGCAGCTACGCGCCGGGCCCTCTGGCCTAGAAGGCCGCAGCGTGGCCGTGGTGCCGGACACGGCGAGCGTCTCGGGCGGCAGGGACCTCGTCTACGGGGGTGAGAGACCACGAGGAGACGGGGGCGAGAGACCACGAGGAGACGGGGGCAGACACGCGGGAGGCCTCGAGGTGGGGGTGGTAGGGGAGGGGGGTGGGAATTTGGAGTTTTCGGGTCCGTGCGGAGGCCGGTAGAGACGTTTGAATGCTGGGCGACAAGAAAATTGTCTCCCATAATTGTCGGTGGTGTTGTTGTTGTTGGGTCGTGTAAATGTAACAGGACCCTGCGTGGTGGGCTGGTAGGAATAATACTTAGTACCGGTACAGAGATATCGACCGGGTATAGAGGAGTTAAAGAAAAATTACTGTATTCTAGTGTAACGTTAATTAAAAGTGTTTGTTTTGACAAGAAACGCTGTGAGATTTAAAGACTCGTAGTCTTTCATTTCCAACACCACCCTCAACACCACCCCTCCCACGGACGGACGGACGGACACATTAATCTATTGGTGGTCTGGTCCACTTCGTTCCTACCAGTATAAATGTGTCGTTAAACCCGCCACCACCCGACACAGCCAACTAATTAGGGTTGTCACGTAAATAGAACGTGGCCAATTCTTCACTAGTACAACACTAGTGTATAGTGTAGTTGTGTAGTGTATAGTTGTGTAGTGTATAGTGTAGTGTATAGTTGTGTAGTGTATAGTTTTGTAGTTTATAGTGTAGTGTATAGTTGTGTAGTGTATAGTGTAGTGTATAGTTGTGTAGTGTATAGTGTAGTGTACTAGTACAGCACTAACCGGTGTGTTGAAGAGCCAAGCCACAACATTTACAATCTGAATACGACGTTTCGCCAGTTATTACAACCAGCTTCATCAGGTGACAGCCAGATTAGAGGAGGGAGCTGGTAGGAACGTTGGGTTGCTCGGTCAATGGCCAGGGTCAACGGCGGCGTGGTGTATTCCGCAAAAATGCCCGACTGTGAGGGCGGGCACAAGCCGGCGTGAGTAGGTTAAACGTTGAGTTTTATAAGGGCACCACGGGGTGACCAGGCCCTCCCCACCCAGCCCCACCCCTCCCATTTTTGGATGCACGACGGACGGACACAATAATCCCTTGTGGGCTGGTGTAACCAGGAGGTTCCTACCAGTAAAAGTGTGTGTTCGGAAAAATGGAAGGAAGTGGAAAGAGAGGAAGACTTAGCACAGAATGGCTTGATGACGACATCACGGTGGATTGGTGCCGGGAAGATGTGGCCACTACTTGAGCCATATTGGCACAAGACAGATGAAAGTGGACATCGACTACGGGCTATCTAGCCCATGGATCGTGATGATGGGTTGTGGTTCACATTTGAAGGCCCTGTCGAATTGACGGTGGAGGCCCGGATAAACCGGTCGTCAAGGTCCGGATAATTTGCAAGGAAGTCAGTTTTAGTTGCAGTGAAGGCCCCTCCGTGTTTATTCAACAACCCCTGGGTAATTGACAGGAAAAAGGCGCCGATAATTGACACCAGCGGAGGAGATCCCCGTAATTAGTGAAAGTGCGGGTGACGCTGAGGTGCCTCCCCCCGTGAATTAACTGTGACAGCCCCGTTAGAGTTGAGGGTCGGGTAACCGTGAGGGTGTTGTGGGGTCGTGATGAGTTTCTGGTGAGCACAGAGGATCCAATGAAGAGCACCGATTTGATAGTAAAGGGGCCTCAAGGCGACGGCTCGAGACTGCAGCCTCCACGTCCCGAATGAGTACCGTGGGGCTTTGCAAGGAGTTGGTCAACTTTTATCTTGTTCTTTTTCCCCAAATGTTTGCATCATTTGTCTTTCTCAGATTCAAGTAAAGAAAAGGAGATGCGAGGCGCACTTAAATCCGAAGTTGAAAGGTAAAGAATTAAAATATGCAAAACTCCTTGGCCTTCGGAGAAAAATGTCGCTGGCACGCCGCATTAACTAACTTTACATATTTAATGTGTTTTTACATGTCCCCCTTGTAATGTAATTTCATATAACAGCCATGGTCTATCCACTGCTGCATGAAGACCTCATTACGGTGGAGCACACCAAAATCCATCGAGTTCCTGCATACGGGCTGATTTCATCGCCGCGACTGATCACGTTTCTGGTGAATGATATCTTCGGCGGTTAACAATGGGCCCTAATTATATTGCACACCACTTGAGATGCCGATGTGCTAACTCTGCTGCTGTTATGTTGAACAGAAAAATCAACAAGCAAGATGTGGTGATTGTAGATTCGCTCAACTACATCAAAGGTACACGCACATTAACGACAAATGAACATGTTTGCCCCAAAGAAATCATGCTTGTGGTGCACATGAAACAAATACTCCTTTATTTCCATTCACAGGATGCAGATATGAACTTTACTGCATCATCAAGCACGCCCAAACGCCGCACTGCCTCGTAGGTTGGAACTCAAAAAATATTTTTAAGTTATAAAAATGTGTACAAGCATCCACACGTCATTATTCTCATGTAAAACTCAACAAATTGGTAAAAAAAAACATTGCCTTAAAAGAAAAATAAATTATCGGCGATGTTTTGGGCACTAGCCCTTCTTCATAGCAGATTAATAGAGGGGTCGGAAATAGAGTGGATCAGAGTTGGATATTGCACTTTATGCCCATGGGGCCTGATGATTCTTATGTAGTTGCTGCGCGTGTGCCCACGTAGATTCACTGCGACACTGCAGCCCAGACGTGCTCCGAGTGGAACCAGCAGCGGAGCGCAGAAGAACGATACACCCAGGAAGTGTAAGGTGCCCAGCGTGCAACATGCGTGCATCCATGTCGGATCGCACACCATCAATGATGCCATCGAAACACATCGCGGGCCCCAACGCTTTTTGTTGTTTTTTACTGCGCTAACCCTGTGTTTTTTTGGGCAGCTTCGACGCGCTGGTGATGCGCTTCGAGGCGCCAGACTCGAGGAACCGCTGGGACTCTCCACTCATCACGGTGCAGCCGCTTGACGCATTCCCTTTGGAAGCTGTGTGCGACGCCTTGTTCCACCGCAAAGCGCCTGTGCAAAACCAGGCGACGCTCAACGTAAGCGATTGTTCGTCGTGACAGTGCGTTCGACGTAGCTTGGGTTTGACGCGGATCAAACTGAGTTAATTTGGTGTCGGTTGCGTATATGTCCGCTTGGTTAAGTTTATAGTCTCAGGCGTCATCTGGTCCAACACCATGTGAGACTAGGCTCTAAGAAAAGCTGTCTCGGGTGTGGACCAATCAATTTCAAAGACAGTGTATACATTATCAGAGTTGTCTTTTTGTTTGCATTTTGACCACAAGTGTTGTGGTTAATGCAAACATGATCCCTTGTATAGAGGTGTCAGTTTTGTTGCCAGGTAAAAGGGTAAAAACCTATTACTATATCTTGCTACTGGTAAAGGAGGTCTCAATGTAATTGGTTAAAGTTTGTTTTGCAAGGGACACGTGCGTCAGGGCCCTTGTATGATGGGCTGAACTTGGGGTATTAGCGTGCAGTCCTCAGAAGAATTACACATCAGAAATGTACATTTCGATTTAAAGCTTTCGTGACTGCAGGGATTCATCTTCTTGGTTCTTTCGGTAAAGTCACGTAGAAGGGAAGTAATAAAATAATAAAAATAAAACATAAAACAATTCTCACGACGTTTCGGCCACAACGCAAGCAGCCGTCCTCAGGTGAAAACCAGGTCCGTCGAGGCGACAGAGTCATTCAGACTCTGTCGCCTCGAGGACGGCTGCTTGCGTTGTGGCCGAAACGTCGTGAGAATTGTTTTATTATGTTTTATTTTTATTATTTTATTACTTATTACTTCCCTTCTACGTGACTTTACCGAAAGAACCAAGAAGAGAAATGTACATTTTAATTATGTCGAAACCTTTTGCATTCATGATGACTGCTCGCCATTCCAATTAAACATCGCTGAACTAGTCGTCGTTAAAATGAAGGTAGCAGTCTACTCAATATAAAGAACCCACAGCCAAGAAATGTTTGAAGATCCCTTTGTGAGGCTGCTGGTGAAGTTAATTTGCACAGACACGCCACCAGGAGGCATGCAAGATATTGCTGGGTTTCCACGATGCTAAGCAAACCAAATATATTTGAACTTGTATTTTGAGCTACATGGTTGGGTCTCATTCATTTATAATTGACAGTATAGATATGATCAATTATATTGTGTTGCTGATTTGCAAATGCAACCTCTCATTTTCACAGCAACCACTCTCCTCGACCAACTTTCTCTATGAACTGGATCAAGTAACACAAGAAGTCGTTACTGTAAGTAAAACATCTCTCACACGTACATATTTACATCCTGGTTTATTGATTAACAAAAAGCAGTGTTAGCTTTGGTTGTAAATACAATGTGTCTTTTGCTTGGGTATTTGTGTTGTACAATTTAAGGCAGTTTTGAGTGCTCAGAAGACCAGCGTTCCTGGAGACCTCATCACCATCCCAGGAGCCAAAGACAAAATATCCTTCAAATGTCAAATAATAATAATAATTGACAGCCTTTTGTTAATCCACTGCTGCATGATGTTGGTCATGCAGGTTGTTTGACCATACCTCACCATGCTGGTCAGTGCAGTTAGGCCCAGGTTCAGCTGAGGTATCACTTGCTAATGATGTTAGCCATTGCCGAGAATTTAACTTGTGTTTTCAGTTTCATAGCACAGTACGGTAATCGCCGTGCTACCGCTCCACAAATGTCAATTCCAAGTTGTTAAAAGCCAGATTCGTGCTGTGGTGTTTTCCTATTAAATTACCACGTGCATTGTAACCTTTCACGTAGTTTAACACGTTGGCTTTCGCAACCAATATCATCTATAATAGAAGTTTTTGGGTTACATCGCGTAAACATATATAAATGTGTTGTTAAAACCCACCACCACCTGACACAGCCAACTAGTAAGGGTTGTCACGTAAACAGAACGTGGCCAATTCGTCACTAGTACAGCACACCGGTGTGTTGGAGAGCCAAGCCACAAGATTTACAATCCGAGTATGACGTTTCGCCATTAATTACAACTAGCTTAATCAGACAACAGCCAGATTTGTGGAGAAGTCCACCTGTTTCGTTCCTTATATAGAGGCGTAGACGTATAACTACCTTTTAGTTAGTTATACGATTTGGCGTTCGCTGGTCTAACACTGGGGAGACGAGGCCACAAAGAAGGCTGTCTCTGGTGTAGGCCAATTAGTTTAAAATACAATGCATTTTATTATCAGATCATGTTTGTTTGCATGTTCACCACAAGTACGTGTGGTTAATGCAGACTTGATTCCTTACTAAAGGTATTCCATGTTAGAACATCTTATCACCTAGAGATAGGTTTTTACCCTTTCAACTGGTACAAAAACTGACACCTTTATACAAGGCATCATGTTTGCAATAACCACAACACAAGCAGTCAAAATGCAAACAAAAATAAACTCTGATAATGATATGCACTGTCCTTGAAGTTGATTGGTCCACACCCGAGACAGCTTTTCTTAGAGCCTATCATTATCAGAGTTGTGTATTTTTGTTTGCATTTTGACTGCTTGTGTTGTGGTTATTGCAAACATGATGCCTTGTATAAAGGTGTCAGTTTTTGTACCAGTTGAAAGGGTAAAAACCTATCACTATATTTTGCCGCTGGTAAAGGAGGTCTCATAGTGTAAATCTTAACACCTGTTTTATTGCCAGAAAGAGTGAAAACCTCTCCTTATTTTTCATAGTTATACGTTTGATGTCAGTACATGTGTCCAGAGAGGTAGAGGGTGTGTGACTCGTCCTTGACCCGCGTGTGAGACATGGAGATGGGAAGGAGCGTCAGCATGGCCGAGTTGAGGCGGCTACGGCGTCAGTTCATCTCCTACACCAAGATGCATCCGACAGAAAACATCGGCCACATCTCCAACATGTTTGTGCAGTACATCAACAAGAGCACTAAATAGCGGACGGCAGATGGTGGACCCGGTGACGGGGGGGAGGGACTAAATGCCATGACGGATGCACGCCGAGCAAGAACCGTTCAGAGTCTTGAGTTAGAATCCAGGCGGCCGATTGTTCTTGGGTTGCAGCGAGTTTGTCTTGGCCCAGGCACCAATGACTGCACGCAGAATAACGATCGTGTTCCATTGGTTTTGCCGTGTAATTTGATGTCATCCGGCACTGATAAACATTTTAGTTTCGTTCGCCGTATGACCATATCACCACATGTGGCGGATACAATATGGTGCACCGCTTAATACGGATAACACGAAGTTGAAGAGACTTTTGTATTTCTGTGACATGATGATGCTGCCAAATGAACATTTTTCAATGACTCATTACATGACGCCAATAGTTTTAGGCAATCATTTGAAGAAAACTAAAAAAAGTCGAAACAAATAATGGACAGGAACAGCTTTCAGTGTGAGGCTTGACTCCAGTACATATTTTAAAAAGGTATTACTGATGCACATGTATAAAATCAATGTTGTTAACGTGTCGCCTTTATACCCAATGAAATTGTGCAAAGAATATTGTCAAGGGATCCATCGGTGATTCCCAGAGTCGTTCTTGGTCGCCTGCATTTATTTCATGCCGCACGTGTTTCCCAAGTTTTCTCCACAAAAGGAGCCGTTTTGTCTTCAATGGATGCTCACCAGGTGAAATTAAGGCCATTGAACTGAATGGGCACGTGCAAATGTGGCTAAACAAACTTTTGGCTTTTGAACAATCGTTCTGTATTGTGAGCTCCATTGGCAGCTTCTCACAAGCACACCTTTGGCATTCTCTTCCCACTCAAATATGCGTTCTGCACGTTGTGTGATGCTGTTGCTCGGCATGTGTTCGTTTATTATCCATCATCAGCCATGGCCATTCCACTGCTGGATGAAGGCATCACCAAGCTGCCACCATCTCATAATAAAGGTTGTGCAAATTAGTTACTACTTCAGGTCACCGGCGTGTTGGAGAGTAAACCCACAATATTTACAGTTTGAGCACGACGTTTCGCTGGTGATTATATCCGGCATCATTGGGCGATTTTTCCAAAATACAATTTTACAAAATCGCCCGATGCTGCTGGATGTAATTTACGTGACGAACTTTACTGGTTGGCCGTGTCGGGTGGTGGTGGCTTAACGACACTTGCGATCGAACCCAAAAACATTTTACGAATATTAGTCGCGAAAGCCGACGTGTCAAACCGCCCCTATCTCTCAATCCTTAGATGTAATCATCTAGCACCTGCACACGAGCTGATTTATTTTCTCCGCTCTGCTGTGGACGTCCTCTCGGACGCGTTCCATTCCTTGGCTGCCACTCCCATCGTTATTCTTGACGGTCGGCTGTTGGATATTATTCCACATACTTTATAGCAGGTTTTTTAAAAAGTTTAGTTAGCACATACAAAGCACACGACAGCAGGTGGCGCTGTCGACTTAAGTGACCGATGTTTATTTTAATGTACCGATTTTATTAATTTATGCACGACTTTGTTCATTTTTACATAACTGGGGAAAGAGCGTTGGGGCTTGATCTGAGGTTGGTGTGTTGAGTGAATGTTGTTTTTATGATGGAAGGTTTGACGTAAATAAATATATTCTTATGCTTCATGAATGGTGAGCGGCTTTTTTGTGACCATGTATGGGATGGCCTAGAGTCATAGCTGGGCTTGGTTAACGTTCATAAATGGTGCGTAAAACATTGTTAAATTACAGGAATAGCCAAGGCAAAGGTGATCCTTATCCAAGTCTCTTACCAAGAAAAACTAAGTGCCATGGCCTTGAAGCTTGGAAATGGGGCATGCTTTCGCACACCTCCCGATTAGCACGGTGCTAAAGAAGTTCAACATACAAACATGCATCTGTCTGGAGCAGTGCATCATAGACTCGTGTGTTTGTGCCATACCGTTGGTCTGCCTTGCCAATCACCTACCCTGCCATGCCAGAGAAGGACGAGATCGCCTTTGCCACACTGAACTTTTGTTTGCTACTCAAGCTGTGATTGTGGAACACGTCGGATAATTGGTAAATGTTTGATCACAATTGGGAGTTTAGAATCCTACATTCTGGGGCCAGAGTGGCACCATAATTTTTTCCTTCGAGAAGAAATGTAAAAAATTGTTCTGAGCACCACGGGTGACCGCTCCCAATTTCTCCATCAATTTACATTCACAGAGAAACAACCTTTGCCAGACCTTTCTCATGGATGTTCAAATTACCCTCTCAACACTACGGGCAGGTGTATGTCATTAATGGCGGTGTTCTTATTTTGAGCAGGTCCTTGATAATGGACAGATGTTCGTCAAAATGTTACTCTTGGTCGCCTGTCGAATGAACTAGGTTGCCTTTCAAAGGACTGAGATGGAAGAAAAAATCTCGACGCATTGTAACTACTGGCATGCCCAATCCACGGGGTTTTTTTTTCGTCAGACCCTTTTTTTGAGTGGCGACCCACAGCGAAAGGCCCTCACCCCTGGGGCGAGCTTGCGTGCAGTGGGATGAATCGTCCCGCAGAAATGTCTACAATGCAATTACATTAAATATAATCCTAGCAGGGGTGTCTGCGGTCTTTGCGCGCCCGGGACGCACTGGCACAAACAAAACAAAACAATGAACAATAAAGGCACAGTGAGCGCGCGTAATTGTCGAGAAGGTTCGCGGAATGTCCTCCGTATACGGCCAGAACGCCGGGGATTAGAGTCCCCCCGCTTCGGGAACAAACAAGACTCGACTCTCCAAGCCAAGCCACGTGCTGACCGCCAATTGTCATGCGGGTTTTGGGAGCGTCAGCAAAGTTGACTAACGCTTGTCACCAAATATGTGGCTTTAAATCTTTTTTTTTAAAGCCCACCTCAAATGCTGCATTTCAGGTGACTGCGGAATTCACAATGGGGCGAAGCGTCGTCGAAGCGTGCACGTGTTTCGCTGGCAAGTTGTGACGGCAGAACGAGAAGCCTCTCCGCCCCCCCAAGCCGTGAAACTGCGAGAGGTTTTTTTTCGCTTCTGGTTACGCCTATTGCCAAGAGCTGAACGCGCGCGTGCGGACACACACACACACGTGTCTACACACACACGTGTCTACACACACACACACGTGTCTGCGTGTATGTAGACAAGACAAAGATCCCCCGTGTAACCTTAACAGACTTTTTTGGCCAGCACCACGCCCGGCCGCCTTTGTCTCACCAGTGGCGATGTTTTTACACATCGTACCAAGTTCTCATTTGAGGCTGAGTCGAGCTAGGGGAGGCTCATGACCGGTTCAGGTAATCGCTACTGGTGTAGGCCGTGAGCGGGAATCAGAACCCGGGTCACCTGGTTCGTAGCGCAGCGCGCTAAATTGCTGCCCTATCGCTCCCCCACTACTTACAGACACACACACGCGCGCGGGTACGTGTGTGTGTATGTGTCTGTGTGTCTACTCACAGGCACAAACGAAGATCCCCCGTATAGACTGAACAGACTGTTGGGGCAGGTGCTATTTCACAGACAGCCACACACACACAAGTGCGCGTGTGTATGTCTACTCACAGACACACACACACGACCTTTATGCTACCTGGGTAAGAAAGATGCACTTGCATTCGTGCCTGTGGTTATGTCGCAGCGGCTTTATGCACATTTTTCAACGCGTGTGACACGATGACTGGCTCAAGAATGTGATGTGTTTTTTATCTAGTTTTTTTGGGAGGGGGGGGGGAGCGTTAAACAACAGTTTAGTTGTCGAAATGCATCCGTAGTAACAAATACACTTGTAGTAATTTAAATGGTCTTTCTGGTCATTTTCTGTGCCACAAAAAGTGCATGAGAGCGGGGTTATATATATTTTAAAAAATCGGGGTTAGATCGCGTAAATAAAAATGTTGTGTCGTTAAACCCGCCACCACCCGACACAGCCAATTAGTAAGGTTTGTCACGTAAATAGACCATGCAAGTTCGTTGCTAATACAGCACACCGGTGTGTTGGAGATCAAATCCACATTTGCAACTTGAGTACGACGTTTCGCTGGTAATTGCATCTCAACGCAACGCGTCGATATGTGACCCGCGATAACGTTTGGAGCGGACCGCTCAGCTTCTTTGCCCGGCTGAAAGATGTGGCTCACCGAGAAGTGCAGAGTATGCAGACGAGTGATATGAAAGAGGTCACATAATAGACGGAGACAAGAGGCAGAGATGAGTGGGACTGATGTGAGATGAAACAAGAGGGACCTCGAGACAAAGAGGGCACACATTATCTTTTCATGATGCTCGTTTATCCAGGAAGCTCTCGTCGAGTCTCAAGACACCTTTTTCAGGAGGGTCCTGCCTAGGTTAGCCTGTATATGTTGGAGTTTGCATGTCCTCTCTGACCGTGGTCACGTGGATTTTTTTCTCCGGATCCTCCAGGGTTTTTTTCCCCTCCACATTTAGAAACATGCATTGAGATGATGTCGATTATTTTGCTGTTATAAAAGTCCAAATGATGAGACACTTTTTTGAGCTATCATTTGTGGCCAGCTCTCTTCTGACAAGGAGCAATATAGCCGAGTGCGGTTTACTTGATAAGATGAAACGACTTTATTTTAGTTTGTATATGTGGCCCGCGATGTTTTGCTGATGTTCCTGTGCATTGGCGGAGTTTGATTTATATGTTCCGGGGGGTTGGGGGCAGGGGTTTGCTTTGTCCCTCACATCAGGAATCGCCGGTGCGTTCTCTATTTTAATACTTCTCCTACACGGTAGTCATGAAGCAACCTGCCCCCCCCCCCCACACCGCCCCCTCCTCCGGAAAGGCTTTTTATGCCCCCCCCCCCCCCCAGGGGGTCGATCCCCGCGGGTGTAGAAACCCTGACCCACATTTACCAGTCAGGTATTGGCTATATGCTTGCAGCAGCCCGTTCATAATGTCAATCGGAACTATACCAGTCACGTGTTTGTTTTTTTTATATTCCACAGCGGTGCAGTGTTACATTAAATATGAGTCATATTACTTTTTTTATTCCGATAACTTTTTCCGTAAATATTTATTTTGACTTACCTGGAGGCTTTGAAACTCGATGCTTAGAAAAATGTAAATTCAAAAAGTTGAAAATGTTCTATCAACACCGTTCCGTTGTCAAATTTCTTTAAACTTTCCAGCTTTCTAAGGTTCCCAGAGTGTGCACAGTACAATCTTGAAGTTCACATTGTGATACTTTTGATTATTAAAGGATCGATGTGTTGAACAATGCCCATAAAACATTTTAAAAATGCAATTCTCATCAGGCCCCATGGTGTTAAGTGCAGTCCCCAAATTAATTCTATCTCTCATGCCGCTCTGTTTACGAGCTATGTCGAAGGGCCATTTCCTGAAACATCGCCGTTTGTATATATATATTTTTTCTTTTAAGGCAGTGTTGCTGAGAATTGTTGAGATTTTTGTGCAACACTGCCACCGTAGCATGGCCACATAATATCTTTAAGTGAAAGGCAGTCTTTCTACCTACATCCTCTCTGTCCTAAAGAAGAGCCATTGCTTTAAACATCAGTCTACTGTATGTATCTATATTTTTCTTTGAGGCTCTTATAGTAAGACATTGTGATGTTTTACATTATTCTACTTTGTACTCGTACAACACAGCCAAGGCAGTCGTGTCTATGTATGTTTTTGTGTTACTCACGATACCTTTGAATATATATATAGGAAAGACAGTCGGATATTGATGGGTTCTCTTGATCTGGTCAAAGAGAGGATATTGAATTGAATGGGAGGCTTTTGTGCCAGGGCAGGCAGCAAACCAAGCAAATGTTGCTGCAGCTTAAAAAGTAGGGGGCATCCTACCCCTGGCATGGCTCCATGGGGTTGTGCTTTTCAGTCGCAATGTCGAAATAGTTTTAAATCATAAGAAACATAAAGTGGAGTAAAATGTCTCTAACTTTTATAGGAAGTGCATCTCCAGAAGAGTTGAGAGGACGTTAAAAAAAAGGTTATAGCAACAACTCGTGAAATCAGAAACGGTGCAGATGGAATAGATTCCATTTGGTCTTTGAAGGTAATGTTGGTCTCGTTAATAATGATGTGATAATAGCACGAGAGGATGTCCTTTATGAGATTATCAGACAAAACAACAAATTGTATTTTTTTTTACCTCGTTCAGAATTCTTTTTGTGGTGCGGATAAAGTTCGTTTTTTTTTCGAAAACAAAAATGTACAATATCCTTTGTCTGTTTTTGTTCAATTATTTATGTTTTTATTTAATATATGAACTCGGAGCAAACATCTGGAACAGTCTGATCTAATAATTTTAATTAAGCTCACCACTTCCATCGTTCATCCCACCTTCCCCTCCCTGACTGACCCCCCCCCCCCTTTCCAGCCCCCCCCCCCTTGCCCCCTGCCCTCTCCTCATCCCTTTCTAAACAATTTGGCTTTATTTACACTTCACTCTGGGGAACCATAACACACCAGTTAAAAATTGAACGCCGTTTTCGTGACGATTGGTCATAATTATCCAAAGTGGCTGGCAATTCCAGGAGGGAAGGTCATTGTTGGTTTTGGGGGTGGTACTTTTTTTCGGGTTGTTTACGAGTTGAGCCGTCGACTGCATTGTTATTTCTAGATTTGAAGGTTTCGTGACTGCAAGGATTCA